AGAGAGAGGGAGAAAGAGAGAAAACAATTACTGTATGTTCGTGGTTGGTCATCCATTCAACAAACAAGTCATCATTATATTCTTGTTATTATTGCAGAAACTGTGCAAATTTATAAATTGTAGCTTCATAATTTCCTTTTGTATTGAAAATAGTAAAATAGGCACCATTATTTTATTTACTTATTATTTATTATTTTATTTATTTTATTTATTTATTATCCATTATAACCTGAGTGTTATTGCTAATATATGGTATTACATTGGACCAGGTTGCTATCAGGACCCAACTCCCTTGAAATTCCACCCCTGATAGTTCCCGGACCCTCTCAGAAGCAACTTTCAACATGTTCCGGTCCCTTTGTCCCCCAGTTGATGTATAAGTATTATAAAACAAGGCAGAGCTCTCCAACGATTGTATATCAAAATCGATCCATAGCGGGGCGAGAACGGGAATGAGAGTCTGAGAGTATGGGAATGGGATTGGTTGCCAGTTGATGTACGGACGAGTGAAAGAGACTAAACCATTGGAAGAGATCTAAAGAAAGAGAGAGAGAGAGAGAGAATGTAAGATGCTTAATAATACTTACATTTTACACAAATTTTGGTGAAAAATTATTCATAAGTTTAAGAACTTACATATATTTTCTTGTATCGTCCATCAAAGACCGGTATGGGCTTGTTGCCCCCGGCAACCACAGTCCCAGCTTCGTCGTCAACATCGGTGAGTTCTTCGTCCAGTAGCGGACTCCGCCCGAAAGGCAAGAGCCTTGCAGTATGATTGAGGATAGAGAGAGAAAGAGAAATGAAGACTTTAGAATACGAGCAACTGGAGGAGACTGAGGAACAATTGGAGACAATACTTAGGTTGTAGTCTTCTCCAATTTTAAAATGATCTGCAAATATTGTAGAAGATTCACCAGAAAAACTTGCAAAAGGAGACAAAGATGTAGAAGTGATGGTGAAATTGTAGCTCCCTGAGTTTTGTGAGGTTGAATTGGTGCATGATCTGACAATAGAGTCCAATGAAGGAGCTATTAGAGAGAAAGGAAGGACTGAGACGGACCTGGTGCAGTTTAAATTCTCGTCTGGTGGTTCTGGAGGCTCTGTTTCGCCTGAAGCTGAAGATTCAAAGACTTCCTCCCGTCTGTATCTTTCTAAAATCACCTCATCTGTCTCTGAGGATTCTAATTGAGAGCTGAAAGGTATCCCTGCACTTATTGCAGGGAAGAGAAGAGCCAGAAATAAAAGAAAAAAGGCTGCAGATGCCATTGTACTACTGCAGTGCAGGACAGGGTGGGGCTCGTTGGTAAATAAACAGAAATTTGATTAGTCCCGTCCATGAATATGATTTTGAGCATTTGAACTCATACCAGTCTACTAGAAAAGGCTCTTCTTCCATTATATATACCATAAGGGCTCCAAAGTAGCTCTTCCGGTGGCCATAAAGACCTACATGTGTTAATGATGGGAAAAAAGAGAACATCTTGTAACTCGTCTTGTAGTTGGTTGTACCGCCATCTTTTCATTAATAATAATTAACTGTTATGGGCGTGGTTTAGTTACTGAAGACACGCCCACACAGAAAAATGAAATTTCTTTCAACAATGAGAAAGAAGGCAAGATGAATTTACGTTCTCAATACAAAAATAATTTTCCAAATCACAAACAAAAAAATAATCCAAAACACAAACACACTAACAAACAAAAAAAAACAACAACAATGATTGAAAATGATAAGTTTTAAAATTTATTATTATTAATTACTTCTCCTCCCCCAATCATACATTATACATACAATAAAACACAAGTATCATTATTAATACTATTAATCTATTAAGTCACAAATTTTTGTGGGGCAATCGATCTTATTTTTAACAGTCTCGGGAACGCCGAATCAAGACGACGACCTTAAAAAAGCGGGAAAAGCTAACATGGTGTTCTGAAGGCTGTCGTTGTGACGCTGCATTGTGTTGGTGGCATAGTAACAGACTAAACTGATGAGAGAGTCAAACTCAAAAGGATGAGCGAAGCCGTAGCCACCACTGGGGCCTCTGAAGACTGGGATACGCTTGAACTTTCCTTCATCACTAGAAGAGGGAGAGAGAGAGAGAGAGAGATGATTTAAAAACTCTTTATTACTGGTAGTCTGGTAATACCATACAGCAATTTACAAAGCCTACATGTACATGTATACATAGATTATCATGCAACAGTGTAACTATACATCTACTTGCACATGCATTATAAAGTTTTACAGAATCATAGTCATTATTAAAATGTGGTGTTAACATTGCAAAAGCACATTCATAAAATTGACAAAATCCTTCTCTTTAAAAAAACCGGTACTGCACTATGATTCCCACTCTCTCCTTGTGTCCCATACCGTATACATGTATAATGCTTCATTTTAGCAATTTTTCAGTAAAATTATAATTGGCATTTCACAGTTTTAATTTGGCAGATCTCATGTACACACACACGTACAGTTGTATAATTATTACTAAGGATGAGCAGTAATGAATGGCTATTTTAATAATTTAATAATAATTGCTACATGTACATGTAATTTTGCTTGCAAGTCACCGAATGCCAAGTTAAAGAGCTTTACTCTAACAGTTAAAACTCACACTATATCAATGGTATGGGTATGAAGTGGTTCTCCAATTGGTATATGATCAGCTACTCCTGGCTTGGGTCTTACGAGGAAGGTACCGTCCGGCCGCCCACTCAAAAGGTCTCTGGACTCCTCCCTTGAAATGTGGTCCCTCGTCCAAGAGGTCGGCTCGTAGTGGGGGAGAGATGGAGGGAGGTTTATCTGATTAATGGTGATCAACTGATTACCCTGGAATATACAAGAATATACTGAGGCGTACAAGAATATACAAAGATATACAAGAATGTACATACATGTAAATATAGCAATTTTAGTGATTTGGTTTTTGCAATAAATTTTCTAATATCAGTAGTACATGCGATTTAAAATATACTAAAAATATACAAGGATATACTGACTCACATCAGCTTCGTTGAATTGTAAAGGTGGCATCATTGGTTGGGCATTTTCTATTGATAGTGACGGGTGAGGTGGTAGAGGTCTATGGGGGGACCTGGATAATGTAGCTTCAGTTGGAGGTAGCGACACAAAGAGAGGCTGGGGAAAGGAATATACTAATAATATACTGATAATATCCTGACTTACGTTGGACTGTGGTGGAGGTGGCGGAGGTTTTTTCTTCTTTTTCTGAATCTCTTCGGATATTCTTCTATAATCATCATCACTAGGGATATACAAGAATAAACAAGAATATACTAGAATATACAAAAGTATACTAAAAATATACTTTAAAATATTTAAATACTGTATGTACTGAAACATAGCAAGTATACCTAAATGCAGTACAAAATATACTGGGATATACTGAAGTATACAGGAGTATACTGGATTATACTGAGGTATACTGGAGTATACTACTTACTCTGTTCTGTGTGTATGTAGCATAGCATAAGTGGCATAAAGATCATCATCTGGATTATCCTCTTCAACTGATGCTTCAGCTAATATATCACTGGAGCGATATCCACCATGTTGATTTAAAAACCTACAACATACAATAGAAAATGTAATAATAATCGGAGGCCATTTTTGAGAAAAACCATGGGCTATAATAGTACAGGGATTTTTTTTAATTTCGGCATTTTCTTAAAATGGCCATAACTTGAAAAGTTGAAGTCGGAATCAGCTCAAACTTTCTACACAGCATAAGTACATCAATATGTATCAGAAAATGTAATAAAAATTGGGGGTAATTTTTTGGCCATTTTTCAGAAAAAACATGGGCTATAGTACAGGGAATTTTTCAGATTTTGGCCATTTTTTAAAATGGCAATAACTTGAAAAATTTAAGTCGGAATCAGCTCAAACTTTCTACACAGCATAAGGACATCAATATGCATCAAAAAGTATAATAAAAATTTGGGGTGATTTCGGAGCCATTTTTTGAAAAAACCATGGGCTATAGTACAGGGATTTTTTCAGATTTTTGGCATTTTCTTAAAATGGCCGTAACTTGAAAAGTTGATGTTGGAATCAGCTCAAACTTGCTACACAGCATAAGTACATCAATATGTATCAGAAAATGTAATAAAAAGTTGGGGTGATTTTTTGTCCATTTTTTGGAAAAACCATGGGCTATAGTACAGGGATTTTTTGAGATTTTGGTCAATTTAAAAACCACTCGAAGTACCTTAAGTGTTGTTGTTTTTGTTCCTGTAGACTCTTAAGGACTGGTTTGAGGATGTTCCTCTCCATGTCTATTGCATTCTTCGACATCTCCGTCCGATGGAGCTGAGCCTCTAACGACTTCTTACCATGTTCATGGGTAGAGAACCTCCTCTTTAACATATTGTAATTAACAATCATCCTACAATGTAATTATTAATAGTTATTAATAGTAGTTATTGAGATAAACACTACAAAATTTAAATCACATGTATCCTCATATTCTCATACCTATACTCTCATATTCTCATACCCATACTCTCATATTCTCAAACCCATACTCTCATATTCTCAAACCCATACTCTCATATTCTCATACCTAAACTCATATTCTCAAACCCATACTCTCATATTCTCATACCCATACTCTCATACCTATACTCTCATATTCTCATACCTACACTCATATTCTCATACCCATACCCTCATATTTTCATACCCATACTCTCACATTCTCATACCCATACTCCCAAACTGGTACCACTCACTGTTGTTTCACGTCAGGTGATTTGTTTTCTGTCTGTAGTCTAAGGCTGGTTTCCAGGTGCTCCTTCAGCATCATTAGTATCTGCTCCTGAGCCAATAGATCTAACCTCATAATCTGTATCTCCTATAAAAAGAGAAATGAAAGTAGCTATACGTGTACCGTAAATGTTCAAATAAAGGCCGGGCTTGAATAAACGCCTGGTACTAAGAATCTCCAAGTATAGATACGCATATTTTACTCAATATAAGTACCACAATCTTTAGAGTGTCCCAAATGGCCTAACTTGTTAAGCTGAGTGCATAGAACCTAGAGTTGCAGGTTCCAATCCCAGTTTTACTTTTTTAAATTTTTTCTGCAATTTTTTTGTCCTGGAAAGAAATAATGCCCGGGCTTTTATTCAAACATTTACGGTACATGTACATGTATATTAATGTGAGATAATGAATCATACATGTAAATGAATATAATATGTAAATAATGTACACATACATGTACATGTAGGGCAGTGATAAAGAAAATTAAGAGAAATAGGAATTTAATATGTGTGCTAGCTACCTTGTAAACTGTACATGTCTACATACGTGTAAGTGTAAATTAATTAATTAATAATATAATTTACATGCAAATTGAATTACATGTACAGTAATGTCTACATGGTTATAACTGACTTGTGTTATTTTCTCGTATTTGTTGGTCAGTTCATTGTAACGGTTTCCTTTCTCTCGTAAGTCCTTTTCCGTTGCTTTTAACTGACGGACTATTTCATCAAGAGATACTGACTCAGACTAGTAGAGGAGGAGGAGGAGGAGTAAGGAAAGAGAAACAATAGCAGTAAACCCTTGACAATTACACAAGAACTTTCCAAACTTTCTTCAAAGACAGTACAATTGTACAGTAAACAATGTAATCAAAAATATGCTACAGTTGGGAATTAATGTAGTGTCTGGCAATTTGAAGCAAAGAAATAGGGGGAAATCCAACCAATAATTGTTGCTGCTAAATCTAAATGTACATGTACATGATACTCTTCTCTCTCTCTCTCTCTCTCTCTCTCTCTCTCTCTCTCTCTCTCTCTCTCTCTCTCTCTCCCTCTCTCCCTCCCTCCCTCCCTCCCTCCCTCCCTCCCTCTCTCCCTCTCTCCCTCCCTCCCTCTCTCTCTCCCCTCCCCCTCCCTCTCTCTCTCTCACCTTATCTCTTCCCTGTTCATATATATCAGTCTTAGACACTGGTTCCTTCAGTGTGATGTCTAGTTTTGAGCTGTACGGCTGAAGTGAGTGTGTCCTATAGAACTCAACCAGTTCTACGACAGAACGGAACTCAAGTGGTTCGGCAAACCCAAAGTACCCGTCACGAAACATGATACGTATTAACCTGTTTACCCCGTCTTTCCTGTTTAACGAGAAACAAAAACATGTAAATGTTAATACAATATCCTTACTGTGTATGTACATGTACATGTACATACATGTATGCTCAATTATTATTATTATTATTGTTGTTGTTGTTGTTACGGTAGAGAAGGAAATTTTCAAGGGAGTTAAATTTGGCGAATTGCTAAATTTTGGGTGATTGGTAAATTTTAATTTGGCGAATTTGTGGCCACGTGCCATTGAGCATGTGTATAATAATGGCTCAAAATGGCGGATTTTATTTTGGCGAATGGCTATCAAAACGCCAAATTCAACTACCTCCAAAATTTCCTTCTATACGGTATTTATCCTCATACCTGAGTGTTAGTGTATAGCTCCCAGGACTACGTGCTGCATCTCTCACTAGAAATGAACCGTCTGGTTTATCCTTCATAATGTCAGTGACATCCTCTCTATATAAAAGAATATAAAATAAAAATAATATTAATAATAGTATTAATAAACATACATGTAATTTTTGTAATAATTTTTGCTACACAATGTACACGTACACGTACATGTATGTACACTGTATACATGTATATGTACAGTACATGCATTTTAATTTTAATGTACTGTACATGTACAGATGTAATTGTTATAATATTTAAAATGGACTTAAAATTACAGAATATTAATATTATAATACTTGATAAAAGTTATGCTGCAATTGATCTATTAATAACTAGCCCCACCCACTCACTTTGATATATTCCCCCAGTACCAAGGCTGAGTCTCGATCGGTGGATAGTCTTTAAATGAGTGAGACCTCTCCCTGAACTCAGTCAACATTCGAACCCCATCGCTCGTGGATATATATTGACTGCTCCCTCCAGCAACAGGGGGGCCTGGGGATGTGAACACTGATGCTGTGGAGGTTCGAGAGTGTAGGGGAGGTCTGGGTGGAGTCTCGTTAGGTATTGATCGAGTACTGGAGAGGGAGGAGTAGGGAGTAATTAATATAAAAGAACATGTAGAATATATATAAAAATGGAGAATTCTCTCCTAGTCATTTTTGATGAAATATGGCCAATGACCCTGTACTATGGTACAGGGACTTTGGTCTGATTTTGAAGCAATTAAAGTGACAATTAAAGGAACTAACTTCCTTCTTGGGACGGTAGGAGGAACTTGTTCTGGTCTAGTGTAATCTATAAATAGAAGGAGAAGTAGGTATTTAACTTAAAGGTGTTATTTCTCTCTCTCTCTCTCTTACCAAAGGTTTGTTGCCTACGAGGTGGTCTAGGAGGTAGAGCAGGAGGCATGTCCAGTGAAGAAGAAGTACCAAGTGAAGGAGAATAAGTACCACCTGAAGATAGAGAGAG